TGGGGCTGTGCCATACCATAACTGTGATGCCTGCACCCACCTCTCTGCCCCATCGCCTGCCTGGGGACCACGGGGATGCTCTGGCCCCTGGCACAGGGGACACGGACATGTTGGGGACCTCCAGTCCTGGGTACCACCAGGATCTCATGAGCATCCCCGGGTGGATCGGCCCTCACAAGTTGCCCTGTGCCCTCCCTGCCCACCCTGCTGGGCCCTGCCAAGGGTGCAATCTGAGCTCACTCTCCATCCATGAGCGCCATGGCGTGCGAGGAGGGGTACCCAGGGAGAGGGGTACCTACAGCGCACCGTTCCCATGACAACCTCCCCGGAGACAGCAGCCGGTGCGGGAGAAGTGGGAGGCAAGAGGCCCACGGACCCCTCCACGGTCGGGCTCCTGCATCGCGGGACACAGTGGGGTGCAGCAAAGCGGCAGCACCCATGGCTCTTGCTCCTGGCCTCAGGCTCTGCCTGCCCCATCCTGCTCCCTGCCCGCTGCCCCTGCAGCCTGGGGCAGGCAGACATGGCAGTGCTGGTGCTGCCCACTCGCGCTGGGTTTGCGTGGGGCGGGAGGAGGGGGGAGAGTGTGCACATCTGGGTTTGCACGGTGGGATTTGCACATCTGGGTTTGCACAGTGGGGTTGACATAGAGGGGTCTGCACGGAGGGGAAGGGGTTAAGTGCCTGCAGGGCTGTCCCCAGTGCCCACAGCAGAGGCGGAGGAGAGGGGGACAGTATCTCCTGCCCCACGCTGCTGCCGCAGGGAGCCTGTACCTGAGAAGGGTCCCTTGCTGTCACTTCTCATCTGCATGACGGTGGCAACCAGGCTCCTGCTACACGGCTGAGCACTCTGCTTCCCCGCAGGGACGGGCTGGCACTTCCCGCTTGGCAGAGGCAGGTGGGGGGGGAACATGCGGGTGGGATGGGGACAGGGACAGGGATGAGGACAGGAGCCACGTGGCCGCAGTCCTGCAGGCATGGCTGCGGCACGGTGCTGTGGCAGGCTGTGCTGTCCCCACCACCTTGCCCTGTGCCCTCCTGGCCACCACCGCTTTGGGCTTTGCTCTGCTGGCCCTGTGCCATGGCCTGGGTGCCCCCCACCTGCCTGGCACGTGCCCACGGGGACTTGTCCCTCCCCAAGGCATCGTGACCAAGCTGTCCCCGAGTCTTCAATGTGGGCACGGCGCAGCCCCTGCACGCAGCCCCGTCCCTCGGTTCCCCCAGCAGATGCCACCAGCTCGGAGGGACCAGCCTGAGCCTCCCTCAACACAGATGCATCACAACAGCTGGGAAAGGGGGGACTCCATTGGCACCCCCACATCCTCCCGGCATTACACAGGGACTGGCTGCTCTCCTGGCTCAAGGGGAACCGCCACCAGC